CGAAGGACGAACAACAACAACATGATTTTTGATAACAATAAAGCTCTTTCATAAAATACATTGTTTAACTATACATTAGGGTAAATCATACCACAGTGGTTTATTGTATTATAAATAGTCAGTTTACTAAGAAAATTTGTTCTCCATTTACTTGTAAGTACATACAAATGACGATTTATTTGAATTTTCACAATGAATATTAATTTACCTTAAATGCTTCTCTTTCTAATGACCTTAAGGTCTCATATGATTGTGGAATTTTTAGAAACAAAGTTATTAATAAATATAAAAATACCTTCTCAATACAAATCACCAGTTAACAACCAACTTCAGTTTTTGAGGAGTTCTAATCAAATTGTTTCATTCATCCAAGAAGGTAAAGAAATGTGGTGTCTAGTTATGGTAGACCTAAAAGGCTTTCAAAACATCCTGAAGCAATATAACTACAATATACAGAAGTAAGCATTTGAAAAAAGGAAAATGTACATATAACTCAAACCTCAGAAGTTATCTTTTATTAATAGTTAAGGCACAGTTGAGAAGAATGAATTACAATATGAATATTAATTATACCACTTCCACATGCATTTCAAAAACACTACATACCATTACTTTCCAGTTCAGCATCAATCATCAGATACAGGCATTCACAAGGAAAAGCATTCAAGTCTCGAGACACAGCATGTAGACAAATAGATGGATACTCCAAAGAGAATCCCTGGCCATTCTCCCCAACCCATGAGAGCCGACTACATGGGACACCACAAAGAAAGGAACAATGTTTTATACAACCTTTTTTCCCCCTTGTTTCTTTTTGTTATTACATACATATCTATAGAAGTATTCAAAATCTAAACCTAGTTTTCCTCTTTAAATAAAAATACACTTAACACTCCAATATGACTTACATACTTCAATTGCTTTGATTTTAACTAATGGAGTGAAATAATATGCATAATCAGAAACTGCAGGCATTATGTCATTCTCAAGATCAGGGACAAGATACAGAATCAAATATTTTTGGTGTTTTCAGTACCATGTAAATTTTTAACACAGTGACTGAAAGGTTATAATGTTCATCTTAAAAACCCTTGAAGAAGAAACATCAGACTCCACAGTAGTGCCCTGGTGATGCATAGAAAAATGCCCAAAATAAAGAGCCCAATTTGCAAACTGGTTTCTGTGACTTTAGTTTTTAAACACTTACAATGCTGTATTTGTTACAAGTGACACAATTCCTTATTTTTAAACTATTTCAGTCTTGTTTAACCTTATATAGTAAGCTTCCTCTAAGACTTGCTTTGTTTGTTTTTTGTTGTTGTTTTTTTTTGGGGAGGGGGGGGATTCCATTTCATAGCTTCTCCAGTCATTATTGTGCATTCTGCAATATATCAGTTATCTGTGTCTGTTCCTGTAACTTGCACATAAAATATTTTTAATGTTCTTTTATCCTGGTTTCTAGAATTTTTCTGTCCCTCCGTAATTGCAAGACACTTGGTAAACTACTACTTTTGTTTTTAAAGAAGAGGTAGCTAACCACAAGAAGCTGTCAAACCCTAGAGGTTATTTCAAACACCTTAATAGGATCATCTTCAGTTCTATTCTTCAGATAAAATAAATACAAAACTTAGTCTTTATACTTTTCAAAACTTATAAGCTCCATTTGGAACAAAATTTTGAATGCCATTTTAGTACTCTCTCACTGCACTCTTTTCAACATGCTAGTATCTTTCTTGTATTATAGAGACCCAAACAGAAACATCATTCTAACTGAGACCACACACAACTTGTACATGAATACCTTACTTTTTTCACTTATCAAGTTTAAATTTAATTCAGGATGCATCTTGTGTATCCACAAACTTTCCTTAGTGCATAGCATTCTTTGCTATCTGCACACCCCAAGATGTTGAAGTGTTTAGAAATTACATTTGTGTCACAGTCGTCCATCCTTCACCACTGTTTACAGGACTGGGACACAAATGTCACTTCTAAACACTTCAAAATCTTGGGGAGTGTGGATAGCAAA